AATCATGATTTTAATATATCACGTGATTATTGAGATTGCCGCCAAAACTTCACTGTCATAAGACCACGTATATACACGTATCTTTACCTATCATACGATTGATTTGAGTTGTCTTTCATGGTTTTGATCATTATTTTGTTTTTCGATATACTTTGCAAATGAACCTTTTATTATTTAATATTTGACATGCTTTTATTTGTCGTTATCAGATTGGTGTCCCTTTTTCCTTTCGTCTCTTAATTATTAGACAGAGATTTTTCTAGCAATTTCAGAAATATGGAATTCAAAGTGTTAGTCAGAATTTGTCTCTGTTAAAATTGATAACTGGGATTGCATCATACTTTATTAAGCATCATTTCAAACGTTCTCTTCTTCTGCAGTTAATCTTGTTTATTTACAATCTCCGATTTTTTCCCCAGAGAAAACGTTCGACAAAGGGATGTGTATATTTTAAAACAAATTGATACAGGTCTTGTACTTCTTTAAATTTTAATTGTTGACACACACTTATCTTTCAAATGAAAGTCAACTAACATTAAAAAAAAAGAATTTTGTAATTAAAATGATACATGTAAATAAATGTGTACACCAATTCGTTATATAGATTGTAATTTGGAAGGTGTACTTGATTAGCAATAGATGACTAATCTGCATATAAACATTGACCGCTGTGGATAGTAAACAATCAACTTATAGTACATAGTAATTGGCTAAAAAATGTCCTGTCCCCAAGTATCTCTGATTTAAAGTGGACGAGAATGCCAATTTATATACTTGTTACATTTTTAAGACAACTACAATGCCACTTCAGTCTTTACAGTAATTTTCTTTTTAAAATGTACTTTTAATTAGTAAGGCTTGATATTGTCATAGTTGTTTTTGGATTAAGACAACTCTTACTAGTCCAATTAGAAGTGAATTCTTAAACTATAACATATTGATTGAGGTAAGCAAAAATTTTTAGTTTCAATTGTTGTCTCGCCTTAGAGATATATATTTATATATAAAGTTAAACTCTACGACATATCCATGCATAGGATCACCAGTGAAGGTGATACACGGCTGAAAAAAAATTTTATATTCATAATTACTTTAAATATGTATACATGTGTAAACCAAGCTCTCTGAAGGAAGGTTTTACCAGGCTGTTCTTATGTCGTGCTGTTGCACCACTGTCCCAGGCTTAGGGGGAGGGGTTGAGCACTCATTCTTTATGTGCCTGTCCCATGTCAGGAGCCTGTGGTTCACTTGTTGTCGTTGGTTCATATCTGTTATATTTGTTTTTCGTAAATTGTTTTGTTTTAAATCATGCCGGTAGTTTTCTCAATTGAATTGTTTCATATTTTTCAAGTTGGCTCCTTTTATAGTCGACTATACGGTATGGATTTTTCTCATTGATGAAGGCCGTACGGTTGCCTATCATTGCTTACATCCACTTCATTTCTTATTGCTAATCATATCATATCTCCTTATTTTTTTTAACTCAGGTAATTCAACATGAACATAAGAATCAGCTTTCAGTACCTGGGGTACTTTAAGATCGGTACTCTGTGTCTTTCATCATAAAAGTATAATTGTTTTGGGATTAATTCAATATTGATTAGTTGAGCTATTTCCAACTGAATTTTACCGGTTTTATTTCTTATATCGTGCTGTTACACCAGAGTGTTGAACGCTGGTAAACGCGTTTAATCAGGCCAAATTCTATATTGGCTTTCCCAAGTCAGGAGCTTTCAATTCAGTGGATGTCGTTTTTTTACTAACTGTCATTTTTGGGTTAATTTTACTCTTGTAAAAATGTTTTATTTTCGTTTGAACTGTTTATATTTTTCAAAGTCAATGCCTCATATACTAGTATCTGATAATTATAATACGGTTTGAGTTTTTGCTTATTGTTGACGACAGCAGGAGCCACTGTAGTCGTTATTCACGCCATTTGGACTCTGTTTGATAGTTGGACGCTCGACACGGATCCAGATATATACATGTCGGATGAAATGGAATAAATCGAAAAAAGAATGCATGCTAAGCATACTAATGCTTTTGAAAAGAAAATTGCAAATATTTGTTGAACGGACAGACTGGCGGACGGACAGACAGGGTGATTAAAATATGAGTGCGGGTACAATATTTTGTCAGTGTATGTATCTTAGATGCTAGTAGTAAGGAAGTCTGGATCAAAACGGGGTAATCTTTACTTGTTAAAAAATATTTTATACTATTTAGAATAATAATTGCATGCCTACTGGATATTAATACAATAGCAACTCACAAGGATAATGGAAGCTGTGAAACACCATTTTACGATAAAAACTAAGCTTTTTGATACAAAGAAACAAGGAGAATAATCAAACAAATTATGCAACAAAAAGTGTTATCAAAATAAAACAAGTGTTGTTGGAATAATAAGATATGCACATAAAGCATAAAATATATTAACCGGTTTTTATTTAATATGGGATTGACTGGTAGCAGGCTAGCCTCAATTACGGGTTCAATTATTTTGTTGGACCCCCAGTGTGTCTTTGTATCGGGTACGCTAATTTGTTACCTAGCATATAAAAATGCGACTCTTAAGTGGTGGTCATGTACAAAAAGGTATATTCATTTATCATTATCATTTTATCATCCTTAATATATATGTAATATTTGTCGCTGGATATAAGACATACATCATCATCATCATCATCATCATCATCATCATCATCATCATCATCACAAGTATTATAGCCTGAGGCTAGATCTTCGTAGTATTTATTATAGCTTGTAAGTATTATAGCTTGAGGCTAAATCCTTATCTGATATTTTAGCCAATTTATGTCGCGAACTTTTTTTACGCATGCATCTCTTTGCTACATAGTTCAAGTTTTATAAATGTCCAAGTTAAAAGCAATAGAGATCATAGAAGTATGTTTATCAAATGATCATGTCTATACTCACGGTTAAAACAGTAAGAAAAGGATTGACTCGTCTGACTAAAACGAAGCACAAAAACAGCAATTACTAGTACTACCAAACAAACTCAATGTACCGATCTTAGAGTATTCACAGCTACTGAACACTATCTTAAAAAACAACTACAACTAATAAATACAGAATAATTATTCAGTCTAGAATATTAATCAATTATTTCGTACTGTTACACCACTGTCCCAGGTAAGAGGGCCCGTTAACATATTTAACCCCGCCACATTATGTATGGATGTGACTGTCCTAAGTAAGGAGCCTGTAATTCAATGGTTATCGTTTGTTGCTGTGCTTTCGTTCATTTTTTTGTACATTAGTTAGGCCGTTAGTTTTATCGTTATAGTTGTTTTACATTCGTCATTTGTGGCCTCTTATAGATGACTATTCGGTATGGGCTTTACTCATTGTTGGAGGTCGTACGGTGGCCTATAGTTGTTAATTGCTGTGTCATTTGGTTTCTTGTGACGAGTTGTCTCATTGGCAATCATACTACATCTTTTTTGTACATATCACAAATTAAGTAAAAAAATACATAAACACTCTAGAAAAGCAAGACCTTGTGTCATGTCAAAAGTACAGAGTGTCGGTAGGACCATTAGTGTTCATAACTGTATAGTAAATTATATGTAGTTTCTATAAAATGTAATGATAATTCATCAGTAAAAGATACACGAGTATTTGTTAGTGGAATTATATATAACTTAATAAATGAATATTTACATTAAAAGAAACATTAGAAACAAGAATATGTATCCACTAGATAACACGCCAGTATCACATTTCCGTGTTAAGTGAGCTCTAAATACAGGAAAAAATCCAATTCAGTATGTAGCCTTAAACTTTCAAATCCCGTGCGAGATGTCTAATATTCAAACATTGTTGTTTTTGAAACGTATTTATCAAAGTCAAACGACAATCGTTAAATTTTTTTTGTGCTATACAATTTGTGATTATGGTCGGATCCAAGATATTTGAAAAACGGGCGTAGTTCCCGATAATTGAATTTATACTGCCGAGCGGAGCAACGCGAAAAAAAATTTGAACGATTTTATACTAAACATTTGTATAGATAACGTGGAAAACGTGAGATTTTCAAAATTATTCTGCGATCGAAAGGGGGTGTACGCCCTCTCCCCCTGTATCTGTGAATGCACGTTTAGGTATACATGGACAAACACCTCGTCCCATGCATTATCATAGTTAAAGACTAAAAAGTACTATTTGATAAATGTATCAATGATATGAATTTCTGCTCACGTCAAATTATCTTGAATTAAATTATAGAAAAAAAATTAAAACAAAAAGTTAGTCGCGTACACCTTTTACATTCGGGTGTGTTGGAATCTACTTTTTAAGCGTTAAAACTTATAAAAACAAAAAAAGAGATAACCTTCTCGCTTCAGATTTCATTATTTTAATATTTTTAAATTCATATTTTGAGAAGAACTGAAATATGGGTCAAGTGAAATGACAAGAAATGATGGGTGTATTTGATTACAAGTTGCTAGCTTGCTTATTCCATTAAAATATTTTTGTCAATAAAATCTTTCAAAATTTAATAACAAAGTATTTAAAGATTAAAAAAAGTAGTTGGGGTTGATTTTTACATTTAGTCTATATCAGCAAAAATGCGTGTCGAAAGAGCAAAAAATGCATTTAGTGTATGCTCCCCTCCGTCATGCTTCAATGCAATAGGACGAAATACGCTGAGTTAGGTCGGTTATGTCGAGTAAAGTCATTTTATTGGAAATCCCTAGTACTCATTTAAGCCTAATAGTAACTCCTCGGCTATTACCGCTACGTGTTATTGTAGGCGGAACAATAATGGCAGACTATTAATCATTGATTCGGGCCAATACAATTTTAGCCACACCAATAAGCAACCAATCAGAACTGACTATTGTTAAGACAAGTAATTATATCAAAATGGCGTGTATATCGACTGAAACTAATAGCTTCGCACCGAAGCAAATATTCTAACAGACCGATCTAATACAAATATTTGTAGATATGTAAATTATATAAGAATTATGAACGCATGCACATCCATATAAATTACATGAAATACATTTGGATAACTAGTGGTTCTAAAAACACTGTTATCGCGAATAAGACATACAGTCAATTGTTTGTCCACATACATAGCCATAGTGATGAAATTTGGTATTAAACAATGATTATAGGAGTATTTTAAAATTGTCTGTTAACTAGTATAATGTGAAATGTACAATAAAACTATTTAAGGTGGTACATAACACTACAGGGAGATAACTCTGTAAAAATCAGCTGAACATTTTATTCATGTCTATTGTTAAGGAATTATGAAGCTTCTCAATGATCAAAATAAGTGTTTGTCAAACTACTATATAAATATCCAATGAAATTTTTCCGATAAAGTGTGTGGTTCAAGTTTTTTGAAATTTTTATCAAAGGCTCAATGTTAATATTTTGTCAAAATTTTATGAAAATTAAAGGAGCCAAATCAATTTTAATCAAGGTGTTTGGTACCACCTTAACAAAAACATTGAAAGCTTGTTATACATGTAATGATATTTTAACGATGTAAATATTTTGCTGAATATTGGTTACAAATTCTGAAAATCTATACATACACAATCTTAAGTTATTTCTGTACATCAATTTGCAAACATTTCCCGATAATCCTATGAATGTTACATTTTATCGAAGTATACCTATTTCTAACAGCTAATTTTACGAGCATACATGTTTTACTAGAGAACTTCTTATTATAACGTCAATCCTTGCTGTTTTCTGAAAAGTTCCTATTTTGAATTAAGTTCAGATTTCCGCCGATTTTTCTTTTCTTTTATAGATGAGACTGTTTTGCAAATACAGAATATTTCTGTCTTCAAAACATACTACACCACATAGAAAAGAATAAAAATCATCATTTCAAATATGGTACCATTATTACGAAAATAAAAAGACTAAGCTTACAAATGCAACCGGAAACATGGTGCATATGAGTATTATTTCGTATTTCTTACTGACTGACAGCAGTTGCGGATGTCACATTTTCTCAGCCAAAAACTTCCATCCTGATCACGTTCATTAATTCCACAGTCTGGTACCTGTGTGCATAATTTAATTCCTTTTTCATTGTGACTTTGGTTCACGACATTGTCTGACTGATGATGGAACTGATAGGGTTGATACACTGACTCAGTATGACTTGAAGGCAATGCAGGAACACAAATTTTATTTAGATGATATAAATGTGCTTGTGTGTAACAACGTATGTTCCTGATAATTGTTGACTGCCACAGCATCCTGGTTATTCTGAAATAGTTATTATTTTTTTTTCAAGATAAATGTGTTAGGACTTAACTGTTATACATTTTTCTTGTTTTACTTTTTTTTTAATTTTACAAACAAAACCTAAAGACACAAACGTCTTTTTTAAAGATTAAATTTTTGATTCATTCGATGTTTTTCGATCTATTTTCTCTGCTTATTTGTTTTTCTCTGATTAACTTACATCATAAATTTATATAAATAGTACTTGCAATATTGTCTTCTTCATACGAACAATATGTCCTATTGATTGTGGCGAAAACCTTTTTTTTAAAACCAACAAACAGTAGTTAGTTCATATGGATTAAAAGTATCTGCAATTTGTTAAGACTTTTTAAAATAACTATTATGTCATTTAACCATTTTATTAGTCAGATCATTGAACGCTAGGGACTTTTCAAACTGAAAATAAATAAATAGCAACTAAAAATAGATTAAAGGATTCAAGACTTTCATCTTTGTACAAAATTGACATAAAAATAACATAAATACATGCAGTTTTGGACAATGGACAGATGCATCAACAGTATATGTCAACCTCTCAATAGTATCGAAACTATACAATAACTAATAAATTAAAACAGAAATTATGCAATAACTAATAAATTAAAACAGAAACTATACAATAGACAATAAATTAAGAGAAACTATCAAAAATCTCACATACACACCAACTTCTAAGAATAAAAACATATTATGAAGATATGACCAAATACAACGTCTGGCAAAGTTCCGGACTTGGAAAACGATTTTAAATGACGGTTGATGCATGCATCAGAGAAGACTCTTACCATGTCGATGCACCCATCTTGCTCTTTTTGGAGTTGATGCGATTCCCTTTGGTTTTTTATACTATGATTTCGAAATGTATTTATGAGATTCGAAAATCGGTATAAACTACTGTTGCCTCAAAGTTAACCTTGTTACTTGCTGACATTGTGAGAGATAAAATATGAGTAAAATTATGTTTTTGGTAAGTTATCCGTAATTAAAAAGTTTTAAGCCAGTAGTTTATCCATATGAATAAAATTGAGAATGGGAATGGGGAATGTGTCAAAGAGACAACAACCCGACCATAGAACAGACAACAGCAGAAGGTCACCAACAGGTCTTCAATGCAGCGAGAAATTCCCGCACCCGGAGGCGTCCTTCAGCTGGCCCCTAAACAAATATATATACTAGTTCAGTGATAATGAACGCCATATTAAACTCCAAATTGTACACAAGAAACTAAAATTAAAAATAATACAAGACTAAGAAAGGCTAGAGGCTCCTGACTTGGGACAGGCGCAAAAATGCGGCGGGGTTAAACATGTTTATGAGATCTCAACCCTCCCCCTATACCTCTAGCCAATGTAGAAAAGTAAACGCATAACAATACGCACATTAAAATTCAGTTCAAGAGAAGTCCGAGTCTGATGTCAGAAAATGTAACCAAAGAAAATAAACAAAATGACAATAATACATAAAAAACAACAGACTACTAGCAGTTAACTGACATGCCAGCTCCAGACTTCAATTAAACTGATTGAAAGATTATGTCTTCATCATATGAATAACAGGCACAATCCTTCCCGTTAGGGGTTTAGTATCATACCATCATAACATATATGAGAAGAACATAACCCGTGTCATGCCAACAACTGGTTTTTAAATAAATGTGTTTAGTGCCGATGCAAAGACCCTATAAGTGAATCAATATTAACGCCAAAATATGCAATCTTTAATGACCTGACAACAGTATCGTAACTATATCCCTTCTTAATAAGTCTATTTAAAGGTTTTGTTAGCTTCAGAGGTGAATACTGACATTTTTGTGCTTTATAAAGAATATTTCCATAAAAAATTGGATGTGAAATACCTGAACGTATAAGAAGTCTGCATGTTGAGCTATATTTACGAATGATGTCCTTATACCGATGATAAAATTTAGTAAATGTTTTGTCTAGTTTGTGATATCATTATTCAAGCAGTATCTCAAACTATCTACAAAGAAGTATTATTCCAGCAATATCCATATGAATTATTAATCCAGTAGTATTTTTGAATCTGTTCTTCGCCAAAAAAAAACCAACAACAACAAAGGGACAATTACAATTTGGCTGTCAATAGTTTTTCTTCAAATTCAGAACTTGAATGTTCTGTGCTTGATTATGGGTGATAGAGGTCTGGAGCTGGCATGTCAGTAACTGCTAGTAGTCCTTTGTTAATTTATGTTAATCATTGTCATTTTGCTTAGTTTCTTGTGTTACTTATTCTAACATCGGACTCGGACTTTTTTACAACTGAGTTTTACCGTGCGTATTGCTGTGTTTTTTTTATTTCACATTGGCCAAAGGTAAGTATATGGGGAGGGTTGAGATCTCACAAAACATGTTTAACTCCGCCGCATTTTTGCGCCTGTTACAAATCAGGAAGCTCTAGCCTTTGTAAGTCTTTGTCTTTGTTAAATTTTGGTTCAATTGTACGTTTCGGAGTTTAGTGAGCGCCCATTTCGCTCAACTATGCATGAAGTAGCCAGCTGATGCCCGCCTAAGGGTGCTGGATTTTTTCGTTGCGTTGAAGACCCTTTGAAGGCCAAATGACGTTTTCTGCTCTTTGGTAGGATTGGAGTCTCTTTGACACATTCCCCGTTTTCCATTCTCCGTTCTATTGAAGTTCCAAAATCTATATGGTTCTTTTTGAAAACCATACAAGTATGTGGATTTCATTCCATATGCCATTTTTAGTTTTATCATATCGACAACGTCTGTTTTAGGTTTTTGATATTCAAATTAATGACCTCCAGCATAACTAAAGAGAAATTAAATGTAGAAATGCGCATCTGTTGCAGTAAAATTGGTACCATTGATAGTATTGCACTTGTTACGTATTGTCTACTTTTATAACTTCATTATTATAAATGCATCACAAATATAAGTTAAACTTTTCACTTTTGAATTTTTTCATTTTTTGTCATACCTGGGCCTTGTTACATGTTGGCTTGCTATAATACATGTACTGTCTGGGTTTTGGTCAATATTGAAGGCGATAAGGATACCAGAGATTATTCATATTTTCGTCCTTTGGTCTATGGATGGTGACATGGCATGGTTTGGGAATATAAAACGTAAATTAAATACGTTTTTTAACCTAATTACTGTCTATAAAGTCCTATTTTTGGTTTAATATTGCATATGAAATTTTTTAAATGTATTGTTTATTCATTTAAATCTGCTAATAATAGGCAAGGAAAAATCCTAATTTTGTCGGTCAAGGTGGAACAATTGGTAAACTGGTGACTCGATCAATCTAATTACGATTAAGCTAAAAAATAAAATCAATATTTTGTCAAGTTAATTATACTTCAATAATGGAATAAGCAACGTGATTTTCAACTGATATATACTGTTCTTATGTTATGCTAAGCTGATACAGTATTGTCCCAGGTTAGTTGAGGGTTGACACATTTAACCCTGTCACATACATCATTCATTGTAATTCAATCATATTGTTTTTCTATTATATGGTTGTTGGCTGCTGTCTGCTGTCTGTCATATTTTATTTTCATTTTGTCATACATCAGGTCGTTGATTTTTCTCGTGTAAAATGTTTCAGAATCTCGACTCGTCGAGGCTTTTATAGTTACCACTACGGTAAAGGCTGTGCTCATTGTTGAAGGCCTTACGATGACCGATACCATGCTTACATCCACGCCATAAGGACTCTGTTGGAAAGTTGTCTCATTGGCATCCACACCACAACTCTTTGTTTTTATATACCTTTTTGTTAAGATATCCTTCCGAAACGTTAAGCCTCAAACTAAATATAGAACCGATTAGAATCGATAGTCGGTTGGTTGGTTTGAATCGATAGTAATATATAACTGGTAAAGTCATTAACCGATTGAATAATACGTCAAGCAAATATGTATATGTTTGTTACATCGATTTCTCAAGTTCTTTGGCAATTTAAACCTTTCTGGACCCATTGTATAAACAAAATTTAATCAACATGTGGTTGCTGATGATCTCAGAAGATCATTAGCTGAGTTTAAGGGTCATAACCTTTGTCAGCTCCCTGGATGAATCGAAATGTCCTAACAGGTGTTAGAGAAATTGACAACTTTTTGGAATGTGAAAGGCACTCAAAAGCGATTTTCGTTTATCAAAAATGACTATTCATTTGATAATCATTAGAGAAACAGATTCTTGCATAGTTACTCGTGGACTATCGGATTTATCCCAATCTCGATAGTTAAATTATCAATTTTAAAGTCCTTGCACAGGCTCGGACTTTAAAATTCAGTAGTTTAACTTTCTCGATTGTATAAGTCCGATAATACACTGGTATCAATGTAAGAATCTATATATACATTGAGGCCATGTTCAACTGTTAGTAAGAAACACATAGTTCTGATAGTAGGTGTTAATGTTCGACTTGTCTTATCTAGCGACGTGATTAGAAAATCGTTGTTTGGCGTAATTAAAATAGTTGATTATAAAATGGTGTTTGTTTCGTTTGTGTGTTTCGTTTTCGGTAAATCCATTCCATCATAGATAAATAGCAGTGTTTTACCATCCAACAAACTTAGCCCAATTTCAGATTACAAAGGTTCCATACTGGGTAGTTGTTGTATATCAATACAGGAGACTGAATACATGAACGTTCACATAATTTATTTTTCCATCCAACATATATACAGTCAGTTCATAAAACATATTTACAAACACGCAATCATGACAACATACATTAACCCACCGCTACTCGCAGATCAAGAGCGGGGCGAACCGATGCGTCACATGGTTCTCTCTCTTTCTCTTACTCCTTTTTTTCAAATTAACCTTTATAAAACATATGATCATAGAAACGTATAAACAAATAGTTTCCAAACAATAAAATATATCAAAAGCAGATTAAATTAAGTGTTAATTTACATTATTCAATCTATATACAATTTGTATGTTGACAAGTAAACTAAATTGATGACCATTGTTGTCAAAAAGTATTCTCACGACACAATCTTATAATCTTAATCCATAAATATTTCCTATAGTAACGCGAACACGACTCATAAATGTCTCTTATAAAATTATTTGAAAAACAGTTCAAAATCTTGTTTCCCAAACAAAATGCACTTTTTGCTTAATAAAAATATTGAAACTTAACTATTCATAAGAAATAATGACTTTTGATACCAAACACGACATAAAAAGAAGAAAATGTTCAAATCCACAATTCCACGCATTTTCATAACATGACAACTAAGGATGATTTTAATGTTAATAAGATATGCTCACTTAGCTGACTTGTGATCCAAAGAGGCTAAAACTGATATAAAGACTAGAGAATGGAAACGGGGAATGTGTCAAAGAGACAACAATCCGACCAAAGAGCCCAAAGCTTCCAATGGCTCCTCGACGCAGAGAGAAAATCCCGCACCCGGAGGCGGGATTCAGCTGGCTCCTAAACAATAAGTAAATTGACTTGATCAGCGAAATGGACGCCACACTAAACTCCGAAACATAAAAATAAACCAAATAAAAAAACACACAAGACTGACAGACTTGAGTTTCTGACAAGGGACAGGAGCAAATATGCGGCAAGGGGAAACAATTATTTGTAAGATCTCAACCCTCCCCTATACCAATGTGGAATAAACAAACACACAGCAATATATATCATGTATAATACAACACTATATTGATTACCAAAAGTAAGTTTTTGCTTCATTGGTAAAGAAAAGCGGAAGTCTTTGTATATTACGTTATGCATGTCGAGAAAGGACAAATAACTGTCCATTCCTGGGAAATAATGGATCGGAGGTCCGAATATTATCTACATTAAATTTTGCAAAGTATCATGTGTGTATGGATGTTCATTTTAACTTTTATATCTTTGGCGGAATCACCGCAATTGTTTTATAAAGCATTTATCGTGTAGAAGGACCAGATGTATATATTTCATATCAAGTATATCAAAAATATCGAACTCCAAGGTAAATTACAAAAGGGGAACTGACAAAATACACGTTATCAACCAACGGAATGATTGGAAAACAACTGTCATATTCCTGACTTGGTACAGACATATTCCGACGAAAATCTTGGTTAAACATGGTTTTACAGCTAGCTTAACATCCCACGTGTATGCCAATTGTTTACAGTTCAGTTATATTGACAAAATTGGAAGAGCAACCTAAACAGACATTATCCCGGCACGTTTTTTTGCAGTATGAAGTTCAGCATACTAGGCGTAATCAGGACTGCAATCGATATCTATGGTAACTACTAAAATATCGAGATGCAATTTGTTAGACGACGAATCAAAGAATCAAACTTTATATATAACTAATATAGGAAAATGATATTGATTAAAAATTACACCATCCCTTTTGTTTTTACACATAATTAATATTATTGGATAATTAACAAGTTACGGGTTGAATCCGATACCGATACCAATAGTATATGTCACATATAGTTTCCGGTTGTAGTAAGAAAACCAGGACGGGTTCAAACTGAAAGGTTTTGAAAGCAGAGAAAACTGTGCACCTTTTAATTAGCATGACTTTATCAAATGACAATACAAATACTAAAAATCCAGGCTAAACATAAGGCGTAGGTACTTTAATTTAGTCACGGACCCGCAGGTGTGTTGTAGTCAATATAAATAAAATGAACCTCGATATTTGTGTAAATGAAAGGAGGCAGGAATCCATTTATACAAACTAAACCCCATCTAGATGTTAATATACGCTTTTTGGCAATACTCTGCTTATTAATTTTAATGTGAATTTGGCAAGTGCATATTGTTTTTAATCTTTAAAGTTAACATAATGTTCTTACCATTTGCATCAACTTAGGCATTTACGAGCGTAACACGATTCATACATAACAGTATTAATGTAAGTATGGTTCTACCAACCCCTAGAAAATCACTTTGCAAGACGTTTATTCCGGGACCGCTGAAATCCCATTGATTTTAACTCTGTAACTGTTGGATCAAATTTATTGAAATTTTGCAAAATAACTACTGAGATGTATATCTTTATTTGAAAAGTGCAGTTTTAAGTCTGGAACAAAAATTAAAGTCTGACAGGAATAGGATCCCAGTTACGGCAACCAGTCTAGTACCCACGAATGTAGTTCTTTAAAAAAAATTATAACTTTTATTTAAAATGGTGTAGTGTTATTATTACACAAGTTCTGTAACTGAATGTTAATTTATTTGAAAGGGTAGGCTTTCTAGTTTGAATTTCTGTAAACATTTTGATTGATTTAAATGTAATCTGCGTCAGTGCATAGAGTAAATTGCCTAAATTTTATCCTTTATTCTTCCCCGGAAGTAGACTGACTGACCTTGTTGTCAATCAAAACAAAATTTTGCAACGGAATGCCGGTCATGATGAGGCACTGTGATTGTACATAGAAACTTCGAAACCAATGTCTAACATGAAACAGCACCCCATTTATTTACTATGATTTTCAATCCGTTTCAATGGGGCAAATAACTGAGTCCCCGTTCCAACTAATAGCTTCGCATCGAAGCAAATATTCTAGCAGACCGATCTGATACAAATATTTGTAGATATGCAAATTATATAAAAATTATTAACGCATGCATATCCATATATATTACATGAAATACATTGGGATAACTAGTGGTTCGAAAAACACTGTTCTCTTGAATAAGACATACAGTCAATTTTTTGTCCACATACATAGCCATGGTGATGAAATTTTGTATTACAAAATGATTATAGGAGTATTTTAGAATTCTCTGTTAATTAATATAATGTGAAATGTACATGCACATGGAAAAACATACAGTCATTGTACAATTAGTATTTAACAAAAAACATTCAAAGCTTGTTATACATGTACTGATATTTTAACGATGTAAATATTTTGCTGAATATTTGTTACAAATTCTAAAAGTCTATAAATACACAATCTTAAGCTATTTCCGTACATCAATTTGCAAACGTTACAAATGTTACATTTTATCGAAATATACCTATTTCTAACAGCTAATTTTACGAGCATACATTTTTTACTATAAAACTTCTTATTATAACGTCCTTGCGGTTTTCTGAAAAGTTCTATTAAAAATTAAGTTCAGATCTCTCTCTCTTCTTTTTTTTCATAGATGAGACTGTTTTGCAAATACAGAATATTTCTGTCTTCAAAACATACTACTCCAAACAGAAAAGAATAAAAATCATCATTTCAAATATGGGACCAAAATTGATTAGCATTACTACGAAAATAAAAAGACTAAGCTTACAAATGCAACCGGAAACATGGTGCTTATTTTTACAATGTATGAAAGTATCACATATTCTTTTTCATAGAACAATTTAGTTCTATCGTCGCCTAGTACGCAAACATACAGGGTTCAATATGTCTCTTTTTCTGGCAGAACATATGAGAAGTATTTCGTATTTCTTACTGACTGACAGCAGTTGCGTATGTCACATTTTCTCAGCCAACAACTTCCATCCTGATCATGTTCAGTAATTCCACAGTCTGGTACCTGTGTGCATAATTTAATTCCTTTTTCATTGTGACTTTAGTTCTGACTGATGACGGATCTGATATGGTTGATACACTGATTCAGTATGACTTATAGACAATGCAGGAACACATATTTTATTTAGATGATATAAATATGCTTGTGTGTAACAACGTATGTTCCTGATAATTGTTGACTGCCTCAGCATCCTGGTAATTCTGAAATAATTATTTCATTTTGTTGTGAGTGAAAGTCTTTTTTTTTTCTTTTTTTTTTCAAGTTAAATGTGATAGGACTTAACTGTTACACATTTTTCTTGTTTTATTTTTTCGTTAATTTTTCAAACAAAACATAAAGAAACAAACATCTATTATAAATATTCAATTTTCTATTCTTTCGATATTTTCTGAGCTATTTTTCTCTGCTAATTTGTTTTCTCTGATTAATTTACATTATAAATTTATATATATAGTACTTGCAATATTGTCTTCTTCATACAAACACTATGTCCTATTGATTGTTGCGAAAATTTATTTTTAAAACAAAAAAACAGTAGTTAGTTCATATGGATTAAAAGTATCTGCAATTTGTTAAGACTTTTTAAAATAACTAGTATGTCATTTAACCATTGTATTAGTCGGCTCATTGAACACTAGGGATTTTTCAAACAGTAATAAATAAATAACAACTAAAAATAGATTAAAAGATTCAAGACTTTCTTCTTTATACAAAATTGACATAAAAATAATATAAATACATGCAGTTTTCGACAATGAACAGATGCATCAACAGTATATGTCAACCTCTCAATAAGTTTACAATTCCTAATAAATTAAAACAGAAACTATCAAAAATATCCCATACACACCAAATTCTAAGAATAAAAACACATTATGAAGATATGACCAAATACAACGTCTGACAAAGTTCCTGACTTGGAAAAATAGATTTGAATGACCGATAGCATGTGTCTGTCTCTCAACTAATTACCGACATGTTTTCGCGGTAATGTTTTGGTTTTATAGATAACATTCTAGTTATTAACCGAATGTATCCTTTCCTGATCATGACTTTTGACTTAGGGATGTACTTAGGTCAGGTTTAGGAATTTTTGTCAGATGTTCGGACTCCTTGGTTTTTTCTTAAGATACAGGGTAAAATATTTTGACCCATAGCACCCATTTTTTTTTTTTTCATATAAGACTTCAATAGCTCATAAAAGGTCATTTAACAAAATTTAAGCAGATTCTAGATTTCTTTTCTTTCGATTTCAAAAGGAGACCCAAATAATACCAATGAAAATATAAGGTAAAAGTCTGAGTCAGCCTTTTCCCGTCGTTTAAAAAAAATTAAATATCTCGAAAAGGAGCTCCATAACCTATCAATATTTTTAGCTTATTTTGTTCCTTATCTAATGCTCTTCTGACTTATAGTACCAATTTTAAATTCTATATTTTTTTAAATAAGTACATCCTTAAGGTGAAATCGCATGTCGGGTGATTCATGCATAAGAGAAGACTCTTATCCTGTCGATGCACCCGGTCTCGCTCCTTTTGGAGTTGATACGATTCCTTCAGCTTTTGGGTTTTGTATACCTTGATTTCGAAATGGATTTATGAGATTCTAACATCGGTATAAACTACTGTTGCCTCTAATTTAACCTTGTTCCTTACTGACATTGTGAGAGCTAAAATATGAGTTAAATTATGTTTTGGGTAAGTTATACGTAATAAAGAAGTTTTATGCCAGTAGTTTATCCATATGAAGTATTATTCAAGCAGTATCTCAAACTGAAGTATTCTTCATGCAGTATCTACAAAGAAGTATTATTCCAGAAGTATATCCATATGAAGAATTATTCCTGGCAAGAAGTATTTTTGCGCATCTGTTGCAGTAAAATTGGTACCATTTATATTATTGCACTTGTTACGTATTGTCTACTTTTATAACTTCATTACTATAAATGCATCACAAATATAAGTTTTCTCTGTTGAATTCTTTCACTTTTTGTCATACCTGGGCCTTGCATAACTTGCTATAATACATGTACAGGGTGGTTTTTGGTCAATATTGAAGGCGGTAAGGTTACCAGAAATTATTCATATATTTGTCCTTTGGTCTATAGATGGTTGACATGGCATGCTTTTGGAATATAAAACGTAAACTTAATGTTTTTTTCAACCTAATTACTATCTATAGAGTCCTATTTTTGGTTTAATATTGCATATGACATTTTTAAATGTATTGTTTATTCATTTCAATCCGGGAAAAATCCAAAATTTGTCGGTCAAGGTGAAACAATTGGAAAACTGGTGACTCGATCAATCTAATAACGATTAAGTTAAAAATAAAATCAATTGTTTTGTCGGGTTAATTATACTTCCATAATTGAATGAGCAAAGTGATTTTCCACTGATATTTACTGTTTGTTCTTATGTTATGCTAAGCTGATACAGTATTGTCCGAGAGAAGTCAAGGGTTGACACATTTAACCCTGTCACATACATCATTCATTGTTATTCAATCATATGTTTTTTTCTTTTATATGGTTGTTGGTTGCTCTCTGTCATATTTTATATTAGTTTTGTCATACATCAGGTCGTTAATTTTTCTCGTGTAAAATGTTTCAATATCTTGACTCGTCGAGGCTTTAATAGTTACCACTACGGTAAAGGATCTGCACATTGTTGAAGGCCGTGCGATGATCGATACCGTGCTTACATCCACGCCATAAGGACTCTGTTGGAAAGTTGTCTCATTGGCAATCACACAACTCTTTGTTCAGATATACTTTCGAAACGATAAGCCTAAAACTATATATAGAGCAGATTAAACTCGATAGTCGGTTGGTTGGTTGGTTTAAATCGATAGTAATATATAATTGGTAAAGTTATTAACCAATTGAATAATACGTCAAGCAAATATGTTTGTAAGTTACATCGATCTGTCTGATTAAAATCAAACCTCTCACTTACTATCGTTTATTTATATGTCACGCACGCGACGAGAGCGCTGAGACGTTGATTTTAATCAGACTGTTACATCGATATACATATAGGCCATGTTCAACTGTTAGTAAGAAAACCACAGTTCTGATAGTAGGTGTTAATGTTCGACTTGTCTTATCTAAGATAATTTAAATGTTAACAAGATATGCTCACTTAGCTGATTTGTGCTCCAAAGAGACTAAAACTGGTTTATAGACTAGAGAATGGAAACGGGGAATGTGTCAAAGAGACAACAACTCGACCAAGGAGTAGAAAACAGCCCAAGGCTTCCAATGGGTCTTCAACGCAATGAGAAAATCCCGCACCCGGGGGCGGGCTTCAGCTGGCCCCTAAACAATAAATAAATGTACACTTGTTCAGCAAAATGAACGCCACACTAAACTCCGAAACATAAAAATGAACCAAATAAAAAAAGCACACAAGACTGACAAAGGCTAGAGGTTCGTGACTTGGGACAGGAAGATATGCGGCAGGTTTAATCATGTTTTGAGAGATCTCAACCCCTCCCCTATACCAATGTGGAATAATCAAACACACAGCAATATATATCATATATAATAAAACATAATATTAATTTACAAAAGTAAGCGTAAGTCTTTGTACAATACGTTTTGCATGTAGAGAAGGGACAAATAACTGTCCATTCCTAGTAAATAATGGAGCGGAGGTCCGTTTATTAACTAAATTAAATTATGCCAATTATCATGTGTGTATGGATGTTTATTTCAACTTTTATATCTTTGGCAGAATCACCGCAATTGTTTTATAAAGCATTTTATCGTGTGCAGAGGCCAGATGCATATATGCCATATCAAAAAAGTATAACAAAAATACCGAACTCTAAGGTAAAATCCGAAGAAAATGGTGGTTTAAACCTGGTTTTATATAGCTAGCTAAACCTTCCACTTGTATGCCAGTTGTTTATAGTTCTGTTAGATTGACAAAATTGGATGAACAACCCAAACAGACATTATCATGGCACTTATTCTGCAGTATGAAGTTCAGCTTACTAGGAGAAATCGGGACTTCTATCGATATCAATATAAATAAAATGAACCTCGATATTTGTGTAAATGAAAGGGGAAAGGAATCCATTTATACAACCTAACCCCCATCTAGATGTTGATATACGCTCTTTGGCAATACTCTGCTTATTAATTTTAATGTGAATTTGCCAAAGCATATTGTTTTTAATCTTTTCTTTATTTAGAGTTACCATAATGTCTAAGTAAATTTTGGAATATTAAATGATTATATCTAAAATATTAGTCTCAAAATAAATATATAAAATTATTTGTTAATAAGAATAGACATTTTACGGTGGAAATGTATAATAAACAGAAAATGACCCAACATTTTAAATAGCCAAAATATGACAAAGATATTTCGATTTGAATATTTCATCTTTCCAACAACACCACGAGTGTTACTGTGGGAATATAACGACTGTTTTTTGGTTTGATTCGTGTTTATCAATATGTAGTTTTCTTGCATTTGTATTGTCGTTTTTCTTTGATTGCCTACCATGGTAATTTCTTCTACATTAAAAATTATATAAACATTATGCTTCGAAAAGCCGGTAAGTAAGGTTACTATACATTAAAGTGCCGGCTAGCATGGTAACTATTTAGTGAAATGACGGCTCCAATATTAAGTAACTATTCATAGAAATACCGGCTAGCATGGTAACTTTGCACTGAAAAGCCAGATAGTAACTTGAAGGTAACTATACACTTAAATACCGACTAGCATGGTAACTTTGCACTGAAAAGTCAGTTAGCAAGGTAACTATACACTTAAATACCGGCTAGCATGGTAACTATAATACATTGAAATGCCTGCTAGAGTGTTACCAAGGATTTATACAAATTATTGATGTTATTTATATATATTGAAATAACGGCTTACAAAGTAACTATACATTGAAATGCTGGTTAGTATGGTAAAACAACCTCCAAGCTAGCATGGTAACTATATACTGAATAACCAGTTAGCAAGGTAATTATACATTGAAATACCGGCTAGCATGGTAACTGGTGTACATTTAAATACAAATTAGTACGGTAACTATAAATTGAAAATGCCGGCTAGCATGTGAATTATACATTGTAATGCCGGCTAGCATGTTTATCATATACATTAAAGTACCGACTAACATAGTAACTATACAAATTAAATACCGGCTAGCATGGTAACTATAATACATTGAAATGCCTGCTAGGGTGTTACCAAGGGTTTGTACAAATTCTTGATGTTATCAATATATATTGAAATAACGGCTTACAAAGTAACTACACATTGAAATGCTGGTAAGTATGGTAACTATACATTGAAAATGCCGGCTAGCATGGGAATTATACATTGAAATGCTGGTTACAATGGTAACTATACATTGATATCCAAGGATAACCCATGAAAGCGTTTCCGCTTATTTCCAATGGGGTCCAATCAATTGAAAAAAAGTGTGGAAAAGAAACGCAATAATATTATGTACGTCCGAAATTTTGTATACAGGATTTATGAAATTTTAATGAATGAAATGCAATCATTTATGAAATCAAATGCAAACATCTTTTTTAAATAATTGCATATAACATGAATAAATAGATTTCGATTACTTCTTTTTATAAAGGAAATAGGTCAAGATTATGTTAGTAAGAGTGTTTTTAGAAAACAAAGTATTTTCCGAAAATATTCTTACCCTAACATCCACGCAGTTTAGTTTATGAAGCGTTAGTGAACAATTAATTGGGATTTTCCTTTTCCTTCTATATTAACTTTCTATTTTGGAGACTAGTTCAAATGTAAATTTTCAAACTTATTTATTATGGGCTTTATTTTTTAATATGTTTTTTTATGAAATGGATATGTTTATTCTACACATATCCCGCCTTTTTATTTCCTATGTTAAGTTTGGGCACCAGAGTACAACTAATGACACAACCTAATGAGAAATTCATTTTAAATAACTAAAGCATATAGTGCACTAAAATCAATGTCGCAGTATAATGTTGTGTTATTAAAAGAACAGACGGGTTGTGATTTTCCCTTATATTTTTACTTTCCCTTAAGATTGACAATAGATGATCAGACTATATTATAGAATTATTTTATTTTCGTCGTTTTTTTTTATTTATTTTTATTACTGAATACCTGTTCAATTATGATGTTAAAGAAAATGTACCAAATGCGCTTAAAAGTATGAATTTAATTATCAAATGCCATATTGCATAATCAAAATATGTTGACCCTTATTTTCTACCATAATTCAAGATAATTGTTTTAAGTGAATGCACATTACCAATCATAAATTACTTTTCATACACACTAGTATGAATGGTTTCTACGATTTCCCGAAGAGGCCTATGTTAAACAAAGTGGTCAAAAATAAAACCTAGTCATAGGTTTAAAATTCGCAAACCTTTGCCACATTTTCATAAAAGTTCCTTATTTGGTTTCAATAACTTAGAAAATTTCAAAAAATTCATTCGCAATGACGATGGCGCAGATATATCTCGGTTTACCATATTTATAGATACTTATATAAAATCGTATGTGAAGTTCTCCATTGTTTGGACGAAACAGATTTCAAATCGACGGGGATTCATTCAAATGTTTCCATAGTTATGTTTTATTTGTTAAAAGGTTCCAAGAAAATACAAAATAGATAAAATCCTGAACAATTTCCTTGCGCTGGTTTCATTATTGTGTTAACTTATACAGGAATATACACTTAAATCTTAATGCCTCTCAAGGTATTTATATATTTCGAAAAGAATTGATATGGTATTATGTAAATAAACTTCAGATATCATGCAATCGTCATTATTAATGTGTCATGCGCTATTATTACTTTTCTTCATTTTTACAGATGATTGACACTAGGCAGTCATCGATGACAAATATAGAAAAGTAAATACGTCAATATATAATTAAGGTCACCAGAGTCACCTTCACGGCGCATGTCACCGAAAGCATACAATATCTCAAAGTAATACCAGACAAAGAAATTGCAATCCCCGATATTGTCTACAGCTACACGAAGACTGGTCTGTCGAAGCCATCAAAATCATACAAGTTATTGTTCTATAATGGCACTGAAAATTGTTAAGTAAGTGGCCAATGACAATTCATATAGCCATAGGACCAAAACTTCCAACCCTTGCACACATTTTCATAAAAAAATCCTTTTTTCGTTATATTTGATTCTAACAACTTAATACAATTTCACAACTCATTGAAAGTATTTATTGAGTGCCAAATCGACGCCAAATATATACTGGCGGACTTTAAAAACACAACACTAGATTTTTTTTTTTCAATTTCCATTTTCAAATATGCAATTTTTGTAAAATAGATATATAAACATAATTTTCAATCATTACTTCGTCGTCTTGAAAAAGTTTGTAGTTCGAAAGGTGAATCGAATACACGTCATTTTTTATGTTCAAATCATATGGTATGCACTGAAACCCTGGTTTTCCCATAGCAATGGATGTGTCACCGTCGAAGGCAATGACTGCCTGTAACTAACGCCAAAATGATTGTCAGAAAGGTCAACCAATTCTGTTGGGCATGTTTTAAGTTCTGTTTTGTACCTTCTGAGTTTGCCTCTGCCCCACCCATTGCAGTGTGTTATGGTTATTATGGGGTTTAAACTTTAGGGCTTTAAATGTTTTTCTGCAGTCGATTCTTTAGCATTTCAGTATATATGGGAAACATTTATGACGTGAATCTGTCTACCATGGCATTCGTCGACTTGATTAGCAGTTGACGTTGTGGCCGTAAACATGTCTCGCAAATGACGTTGCGTAATCAAATTTTATTGATGTGGCGTTGTCACTACATATTGATCTGGTCATGGAGGGTCATCAACAAATTCCGTCTGCCAGTATTGTTGTTGTAAAGACATTAAGACGAGTTTCTGACGTGAAATTTGTACTGGCAACAGCACGTTCACGTATTCCTGCCTGCAACATTGTTGTGACTTGATTCAGATTTTCATTGCTCAGTCTCGGCAATATGGATTTGCAACATTCTTTTACTGACTTAAGTGTGGATATGGATTGAAAGAATTGTTTCACGAAGAAAAAAACATTAAACAAATCATTTATCATGGGTTTCAAATTTCGATTTAAGAAATGTGTGCGACTTCAATAATCCGGTATATTCAGTAACCTAAGGTAAGTCAGGTATTGAATTTTTCTAAACAGAAATAAGTATGGTAAGCATGAATAGTAGTTATGGGTCATTTTATAAAAAATGTCGAATCTTGAAATTGCAAAATTGAATAAAAGTTACTAATTTAAACCACCCTCTTCATAAGCAAATCAAAATAAACAATACTTATAGAGCAACATATTAAAAGATGCAATCTTGATAATGTCGTACAAGAATATATTGAAACATTTTTTGATAGGTGGTGCAATATTTTGTCTCTCTTGTTACCATGTTCAAAAGACATTTTGGGTTATTTAGAATAGGTTTCGATAAAATTTTAAGCTTGTTTTTCAAAACCAATAGGGTGGTTTTCAAGAGTAAAAACTTCTATATATTTTCATTCTGTGTAATGATAGATTATTTGTCAATTTTCCATGTTGTACTGAAAAATACCTCTAAAAATTGGTTTTCAAAGGTTATAAAAATAAACAACCGCATGTTGGTTTAATTTTGTCGTTTTGTTTTTGGTAACAGGAACGTACGTAAACGATATATCACCATACAAAGTTCTATCCTGTTACCCTTTTTGTCTATCCTGTTATCGATAGCAGTATTGCTTTTTGTATATGCTAAATTGCAAAGATTAAGACGTTGTCACCTTTAAATCAGCTCAACCAACCAAATATTTTGTTATGTGTAAAATAATATGTAGTTATATACTTTTTAAAGACGTTTTAGTCAAATATTGCCTATCCTGTTACTGTAATCATAGTAACAGGATAGATATAACAGGATAGACAAATTTCTTCATTTATGAATGCTGTTTTGAAATAACTACTCCCTTTGATGCAGTGATGATGTTTTTCTGCTGTGTGTTTGGTTTCCAACACGTAATTGCACTTTTTTACAAGTTTAATATTGTTGTAATTAATAAATGTATTGGTAACAGCATAGACATGATAAAAGGGTACCCTCAAATTTTGTCACTAAATGTCTTGAATTTTCTTTTCTCTACACTGTTATGCAAGAAACGTGCTGTGTCAAATTTTTAGGATGCTTTTGTGCTTTTGAAATCATAGTTCCATATTCATAGGGAGAAACAATTTAACGGTTGATCTAGTAGCAGGTATCAGTATAGACAAGCATTTCATGTACGCCGATTGGATTTAGTTTGTAGAAAAAATGTTACATAGAATGATAAAGAAGCTGTGAATTTTCGGTAACGTTTTCATTCATTAACATTCTAAAATAGTTCCTTTTGCAGATATCAAGGCAATCAGAAAAAAGGAAAAAAATCACGCACATAAATTACGCAAAAATCGGACTTAAATACATTTTAATCTTATCAAATATATCTTATTCGTGTTTATTATTGATGTTCTGACTCATAAATCCTACAAACTTTCGTTGAAACACTTACAACTGCATTTTGCTTTAAAAATTAAAAAAAATTGCATAGGTGCACTGAAAAATTAACATTTTTTTTTTTAATGACTCATATGGGAAACATTTATGGCGTGAATCTGTCTACCACGGCATTCGTCGACTTGATTAGCAGTTGACGTTGCGGCCGTAAACATGTCTCGCAAATGACGTTGCGTAATCAAATTTTATTGATGTGGCGTTGTCACTACATATTGATCTGGTCATGGAGGGTCATCAACAAATCCCGTCTGCCAGTATTGTTGTTGTAAAGACATGAAGACGAGTTTCTTACGTGAAATTGTCTGGCAACAGCACGTTCACATATTCCTGCCTGCAAAATTCTTATGGCCTGATTCAGATTTTCATTGCTCGGTCTCGGCAATATGGAGTTGCAACATTCTTTTACTGATTTAAGTGTATGTATGGATTGAAAGAATTGTTTCACGAAGAAAAAAACATAAAACAAATCATTTATGGGTTTCAAATTTCGATTTAAGAAATTCGTGCGACTTCAATAATCCGGTGGATTTATTCCATTTCCAGATGAAAGGTGACTATAATATTCAAAGTTTTTTTCCGTTAGAGGAAAAACACTGTTCCAGTAAAGAAATCAAAGGTTATGCCTTTAACACCAAAGCGCATATCAGAAACGGTTTATTAAAAGGGAACAGACAGGAATATAAATGAAAATCTGAAAGCAGAGGATTCCTTTTATGTAATAAACATCGAGGATAAAGAAAGAAAAATACATGCAAGTTGCGTTTAATGAATGGTTCTAAGTGATTGTGACATCAGGAAAACACCTATAACATTAGATTTTCTAGAATTATAAACGTAAGTATCGTCAGAAAGGTGCATACTAACTACATCGTGTTTTTTCAGCAGAATTGGAACGAAAATGTTACTCGTTTTGTATACTCCAGTATCATTAGGAATCTGTATTGTTTTTTCCACAATAGTTTTGTTGGAATTTCCAGAGTTTATTTGAATATAATGAGTTACCTCAGAAACGGTAACGTCAGCTTTTAGTTTTGACTTACAATAGCAGGTAACCTGTATACAGGCGTAAAGGTAGTATAAACCTTCGGTAGGTATCCTTACACCTTTAGAAATATTTCGACCAGAGGCTTTCAAGGGAGGATCATTATCTTTATAAACATTTGTCATTAAATAGCTGCCTTTTACAAGACTCTGTGCTACAGGAAATGTATTGTCCTTTTCGTTAGATTCCATTGAGTCTGTGGTATTTTCTCGTGTCATATAATATCCTGAAATCTGAAAAAAGCAAAAGAGTATATAATGATTAGTTATGTATACAACTATTAACCAAAGGTCAACGACGTGTATTGAGGCCACTTAAGATCACCGTACGGCCTTCAACAATGAGGAAAACCCCTACCGCAATGTCAGATATGATAAAAAGTCCCGATTCATATTTCTAAAAGAATAAACGAACGAATTATTATATTTCATAATTATAAAAAATGAAAACTGAACTCATTTTTTTTTATGTAATATAATTCTCTAATATGAGGTATTTTTTTTCTAAATAAAAACATATCTTGGTAGTAAATTAATGAGACAGCAACTATCTAGATGTTAAAAAAGGTCTTCAACAATAATGGAAAATAAAAGACAAATGTTTATAAAATAGGTAAGCGCTTTGTAGTAAATAAAATGAATAAAATAATAGAAAAACAAAGGATCTGGGGTATCCATCCTTGACACAAAATCAGTACATGCACAGCAAATAACACACAAACAGCAAAGAAACAGCGCTTTTATTGCTGTTTTTCATCTCAAAGTCACAGTGGGGCCTTTATCACGAAGCAAAAAAAAAAAACTCTCACCTCACTGCAAGTTTAAGACGGCCCCTAGCATCGGCTTGAGTGGAATTCTTTGCAAAATTAATTCGGAAAGACTTTGTAAAATGTAACATCACCAAAAGTCTATCAAAGGTCTACCGTCAAAACGAAAATGATATTATCGCTACTATATCTTTGTAAAACAAGACCTTTTCTATTAAACACTGCCCTTCTGTGACTTGTTATCTAATAAACTTAATATATTTACATATTGATAAAAAATAAAAACAAACTTTTACAAAGTCTTACTTACCAAAATCAGGATCATAACTGCCGATTCTGTCGTCGGTACTTTAATATACGGCACCTTTTTCGCGTTTTGCACTGATGTCGTATCAATCGTGGCATGTGTCGGTAGCATTATATGATACTGTGTTTCTTTAGATTTTATGTTAACTTGCTCATTCTGCAGCGGCGTGATATGCAAGAGATTCAATACATTTAATGAAACAATTGTCAACAAGCAGAAAAATATCAATATACTTAAACAACATCCTATTTTAATAATGTTTGAATAGTCGGAATTACGAATACAATTTTTATCCACTAAATCTTTTTCCCTAAGTAATGCATTGCCAGCGTAGGCATCCATGTTGGGTAAAATATAGCCAGCATTGTATAATATCATTTTTGTTTGAAATTCCTGGTTTTTTATTGATTAGGTTTTCGCTGAAAAAGATTTGAGGAATTTTTATTATTCATAGTTAGTAATACATCCGTGTCTATTTTTAGTTGATCGGTTTAACCTTTTTTTTTTAAATAGAAACATATCAGTGTAAATATTTAAAAAGATCGAAGGATTCTTGGGTCGTACAGTATATAATTGTAATGCATAGATGACCATATACACGGGGATCTCAACGTGGGATTTTGGGTACAGAAGTGCAGCGGGGATTTCAAAACCCCCTCCCCCAATTCATATATTGAAATCTTGTGAAATCATGACCTATAAATATATTTTATGCCAAACCATAACTCATTCAAATACATATCAAATATGGTATATACAATTTGATTTAAAAGGATTAAACAGCATATATATATATATAGAATGATATCTAATCGAAAGTTGATAATTATTACGGACTCATTGACATTTTACCTTGCCAAAATTGCAACCCAAAAAAGGGACCCATTCCAGTGGCACGTCTGTATATATAAAAATAAGAATTGTGGTATGATTGCCAATGAGACAACTCTCCACAAGAGACTTTCATAAAGGAAGAGACCACTCGTTTTGAATACCCCTTTGGTATCGTCTCATTCTCTGAACACTAAATATTCATGTCGCATACGTAATTTTAACAAACATAATGTCAAAAGATTTGTTATCGACGTATGCATTGTGTGTTTCTTGTCCTATAAACCTATTAACATTTCCTTTATTTCATTGAATTCCGAAGAAATCGAAAGTTCTGCTATTTTCGACGTCATTCGTAAAGCTATAATGTATTATGATCATGGTCAATAAATCCTTTATTGAAATTTTAGCTAGATTACGGGGACCACATTGGGACCTTATCGAACCTACTCCTTTCGACTGAAAGAGGCTACATCATGCAAAATATATAGGACAATCCCTCTCAGCAGAGATTTAAAAAGTCAAGTTAGCCCCTTATATTAATATACATTTGTATTTCCATATGATGAGTTCATTAGGTGATTGCCACCATGTATGAAAAAGAATTTTTGACCTCACTGCATAGTGTGCAAATTAAACTTAATATAAAGCTACTTCATAGTATTTTATGAATGGCGAACATTAAGACCGACGTGTACAATAGGGCATATACTGTTGTTCAAATACTTATATATAGTTTCATCCTTTTCCTTGACCTCCATAGAAAGTTTTCGCATGTATCGAAGTTTGATTATTTCAATTATCGATTTTCTTATTAATCGGATTAGGAAACGTTCTCTTTTTGGTGCATTTTAAAAAATAGTTTAATGATATCAATTTCGAGTTAGAATTCATTAGTTATACTTTTCGATTCCATTTGAATGATTATATATATATTCAAACCCATATCGAAGTGGTATATAGTTTGCACGATTATTGAAGTAATGCCCTCGATTTATAAAATTGTTTCATAATCTGACCTTTTTTCAAAACCCAATTTTAGCTTGTTTATAATAAGTTTTCAAATACACAATTCAACCACAAGTAAGTTAAGTCAAAATATCTTTTAGCTTCTAGCACCTAAACGACACATTTTAACCCAACATTACTATGAAGTCAGTCATAGCATGTTATAACAAAATCGGTTTGTGTATTGTGATCGATTGGACTTGCATCCTTCATTTGGTGGAGTTAGTTTAGTTTCTATAACTTTTTGGTTAATAAAAACATGTAATTCAATTCCATTTTTGGAAAAAAACGTAAATGTATTCGATTGCTTCCTTGTATGAATTTACAAAGAATTTAATTGTTTCTTTAACCCTCTTCCTGATTCGTCATTGGGTTTTTTTAAGGAATTTTGGTTTTGATTTCATATTAGTCTATACACGTTTAATATAATGTAATGATTCTCTTTCCAAGTACATCATGACGTCTATGACATTGTGTTTTCTTAATTTGTATGGTATATATCAAACTAAACAACAGAATTATTTTGCTAACGAATACAAAACTCATTAGACACACATACACCAATTAAACAAGCCTGTCCTCTATGCAAATGGCATGTTATAGATCTGTTAGCCCTGATACAATGTAACTGGTAAACTGATATAGATGTAAGAAGATGTGGTATGACTGCCAATGATACAACTCTCCAACAGAGACCAAATGACATGGAAGATAACACTTACAGAACGGCCTTAAGCAATGAGCAAAACCAAAGTGTCAAAGGAACATCCATATATTTATCCATCTTCTGATTTACTTGGCCAAAATAAGTCACCAGGCAGATATATTTTTCGGTTAAGAAATAATCAATGAGAAGCCTAGTGCATGCTAATGTTTGAGACCATGTGGACACAAATGTACCACCATCCGCCCAGTATTACCAGTAACCAGTGATGCGCTATAAGCATGGTTTGATTAATGCATTCCGAATAACAACTGTTGTGGTTCCAAATATTAATGTAATTTTAATGCTATGACCATTGGTATCCTACTTGGAAACATTAAACCATGAATGATCTTAATTATCCATTAAATTTCCTACAGTCATCCGGTTAATTTATATTTTATTTCATGTTAAATAATAGAATGCAAATAATGTGATTTCTAATACTGCGATCAATTGTTTATTCCTGGTCAAACTCAGCTGTTAACGTTGAGGCATACAAGATGACAATGATGATACATTTAACCTCTTTTAGTCATATTATGCAAATAAAACATTTCATTTGTTGTTTTTTTGTTTGTTTTTTTGTTTGTTTTTGGGGGGTTTTTTTTTGCCTTAAATAAAAGGTTTGAAAGAGCTGACAACACTCTGTCAATATAGTTATATGGGAAATACAACGTTTCTTTTGTTGACTGGAGAAGTAAATAAAAAAAAAAATGTTCTCATCGACACAAGACTTTCTCAAAGCCTATTTGAATCTATTTATTATTCACTATTTCATGAGGGCTTATATTTTTGAATATTTATTTATCTTTCATCATAAACATGCGCAGACACTGATTACTCTATTGATGATTCTTTCATTAAGTAATTGGTCTTCTGCTTTTAACAATCATAGTCGTCAGTGGTTTCCTAAATGTCATATTTCAATGTTTTTTTATCATTTGGAAATGACATTTGAGTAATCAGTGTTTATGTAGTTTATTGAATATCGACTTTAAATATAACTTTGAATTGACTAGATAGTAGTTTTAATCCTAATTCATTACTTTTTTCGACGCGGGACGTATTATCCTCCTTTCCTTTTATTCACAATCAGATAGTATCCTTCATTAGGTAAAATGTCATATACAAACAAAATCTACACAAAATCAATGACAACTAAACAAAAATACTTCTATCAATTCAGTAAAGACTGGTAAATCTTATTTATTTACATTATAAAAGTCAAGTTGACTAGATAAGTACATGTATACATGACTGTTGCTGTAATACATAAGTATATGAACAATATTTTTGAGATCATCAAAACAGATGGTGAATATTCTTCAGTTTCAATAGCTACGTGTCTTATGTCAAAAAAGTTGGCTGTTAAATCTAATTGTCTGCTTCATTTCTCAGCATTCAAACTAATAAAGCGCATTTTATCATATCAACTTCTCATGACGATTACTCTTTCTCAAAATACCTTTCTTCACTTTCATAACTAACATTCTTCACAGTTTGAACATTCCAAAATAGCTTCCGTACTTTGAAGTCGACACGTAATCATACGACGACACTTCTGTTTTCAGGTTGAAATTCTCTTGCATCTGGAAAGTTCCACATAGGAAGCTGGTGTATACCCGTTTGGATTCCGATGAACCTCCATATTTAGTCATCAGCAGAGTATCTATGGTATTAGGTAATAGTGGATGACTTTTAGTGACATTATGGTAGAATATTGGGACGGATTCAATGTCACCAAAGTCAAAGGTTATTGCCACATAGACAAAATATAAAGCTCGATGTGGACCTGGTACTACAATACTGTTGGTCGCAGAGTTTATTTCTATTCCATGTTTGAATGAAATCCCAAGAGGATCTTTGTCTGTTCTCCATACAAATTTCTTTTCTGAAATCAGATTGACATCAAATAAAAGTAATTGAAATTACAGCTTTTTAACTTCATGATGTTAATGTACAGCGTCAAAATATTTTATTATACTTCACTTTAAACTGACAGATTTTGATTGGTTAAATTGAGAGAGACTATTTACTCTATTCCATGGCGCAGCGGGAGACCCCTTCGGTAATTTATAGGACAAGGAATGCATTTGCATCAATAATTATAAAGACAATGCTCAAGTTCATTGTTTCGGCTTCAGACCTTTTCATAGACTGTCAACATAAGAAATACATCTTGCTTAACTTTTGTTGTTTTTTTTCTAATGACCGTTACGTTGTAATGAACATTGTTGAAGGCCGTACGGTGACCTATAGTTGTTAATTTCTGTGTCATTTGGTCTCTTGTGGAGAGTTGTCTCATTGGCATTCATACCACGTCTTCTTATTCTTATGTGTAGTTAATAGTTAATTACTATCAATTTACAAGTTAAAAGACAATAACGATAGAGTATTCAGTATAGTGAATTAAATAACACATAGCATAGAGGTGATAGAGCAGATTGATACGCCTCGAAAAAAACATTGTCAACCTTGGCTTCGCTTCGGTTGACAATGTTTCTCTACATATCATTGACAATAAGTCAAATTGGCGTAAAACAAACGTTAGTAGTAATTGCAAGTTATTTAACACATGCTAAACATGTTATAATATATTCTGTTAGAATGCAATAAAGACATACAACAACATAATACGTATGGTTCAGATACAGTAGTAGTGGTACATGATGTTTTTTTTTCTTCAATTATAGGAATTTACTGTATTCGTTTGAACCCACATGCAAGAATTTAATGACAGGTGGTACTCTACTGTTGTTACCTAATCATGTTTGTCATTTAGGGAGATTAATACTAAACCGCCAATAAGTTTGTTTTATTTTATTCTGTGTTGACTGTCTATATCAGTTTAATTAGAACATTGCATAACATCATGAATTCCGGCACTTCGCACGATGCTGCTATCTAAAATTAATCTACCTTAAAGTTCAATGGTCATTATTTTGGGTTCAGTGAGCATGATATCAGAACGTGAAGTTCTAAGATCTAAAGATTTAATTGCATTTTCGGACATGGACCTTTTGATTTATTTATGCATTTGAGATCGAAAGAATAATAGATTGAGTGCGAAAAAACTGATATAACTCCGCCACATGACCAAGTGCCCAAAGCTACGTTTGCTCTGCGCGGAAATCGGTAGATTGTAGATCATCATTAATTTCTATCTTTCCTTTTCAATCTGGTTGGTTTTAAAAATTAATATATTGCATTGACATGTTTTGTTAGCTGAAGACTGTGTATTGACTTTTGTAATAGTGTTCCTGTGTTATTGGATTTTAAACAACCCGTCAATTTGGGAATTATTATTCTGACCAGGAAGTTGTTGAATTGTTCATACTTATCAACAGCCAATCGTTTGCTTACAAAATCACTCGACAGTTTTATCTTATTTATTTTTTTCATAAAAGATTTTTCTTTTAAATGGTTTAATTGCTAACATGGCGTATTAACACACATAAAATACAAAAAGCAACTGAGATATTAAAGGGTAATATTAGTTACATAGTGTGCTAGTGACCTTATACGGTATATATGGGGTCAGTAAATTCCATATGGGGTGAGAGCGAAGCTCGAATCCCCATATGGAATTTACTGACCCCCATATATACCGTATTACGTCACTAGCACACTATGTAACGAATTAATCTTGCCGACTATCTTAACGTGTGAAATTTAAACTAGTGACCTATCAAAATGAGCAAGTCTTCAATACTGTTAGCATTAAGAAACTACTTCCATTGATCCTACAAAAACAGATGCCAACAATAACAACTTGTTAGGTTTAAATGTGTTTTATGAATTTATTTCAATCTTCATCATCAATTTCTTCGTCTGTTGAAACCTTTAAGATTTTTTCTCAGTACCGTTTTGTTTTTATAAAGGGACGTAACACCACTACTAACCGTGTATGAAATAAGCCCCGCCTCCCTACTAACCTAATATGAAATATACACGGTCTCCACGCGGACGCTTTTAACCAATCATATTCCTAGAAATGTATAAGAGGTAAGATAAATGGCTTTCTTAGAATCATACAAACCTTTCAATTTGTCCAAGTCTAGATTCATGTGAATTGAGTTTGGTCGATTTCTCCACCATTTAAGCTGGTTATAAATGTCATCAACATCAATGTTTCCAGTATCTAAATGAAAGAATACAATTTGCAAAATATACACTTTTTGCAAATGAAAACAAAAAGACAATTGACAAGATTGGTATTCCATGGTATGATTTTCGTCTGCAATTTATTACCTCAAATTTTAATATTTCGTCCTGACATTGGGAAGAAGTTTAGGACTACTTATATTATAGTTATTTCAAGTTCCCTTTTTCTAAGTTTTTGAAGATACTTCTTCAAAAATGCTATTTGGAGTCTTTCAGACGAAATATTTGAAATGTACATATTGTTTCTGTTTTATTTGACTACTCGGAACTGAGGATTGAATAACTGACTTTTTTATTAGTTTTACAAATATTTTGGTTTTCAAAATGACAAAAATAAGTAACACAAACAATATTTAGTAATGAAATTGGCTGGTAAATTGAAGGAAGAGTTTTGATTGACCCATAGTTTGTAATGTGAAAGACATTTGAGCCGCTCAATAGCTTATTTGATTCTCTAAAACTTATTAATTCATTAATGTATCTGTCTATTAAAATTAAAGCACATAATGTTGACATTAAATACATTATGCATTTATAGGGAAGTGTATCTGGATAAACCACACAATTGTTTTGCATTTAGTCTATTAATATCGCAAGAATTTGTATTCTTCTGCATGTTTCTTAAAATACTAACTGCTCGAGACAGTTTTATATATAAATGTCATTCTAGGTATTGAAGTCCTTTAATTAAAAAGAAAATAAACTAATCTTGAATCTGATCTTATTCGTATAGTTTAAAGATTGTGATATTTAGTTAATAAGATTAAAGTCTTAACCTATCCCTACTACATTTGACAGAAAGAGCAAAATATATGTTTCATAGCAAGTGATTGTTTTCTTGTACTGTGTTTGTAAAAGTATGCATCAGTCAAATAATAAACGATTTTTAGGAATTAAAGATGTACTTATACCACAAAATCGTTCCATGATTAACATTTCCTGAGTGTTAAAATAGTTTATGAATGAAATCACTTACCTGAAATTCTTTCTTGTTCTGTCATTATCATCTGTAAATTTAAATAAGTTACAATCTTAAAATGTTTTGCTTTGATGAGCTCATAAAAATAATTCAAAAGGTTTAATTCAATTATCCGTTCTGATATGAATATAGGAAATGTTGAGTATACGTCAAACTGACAGCATTCAAACAAAACTAATCAAAGTACACCAACAGGTCAACAAACAGTTATTAAAAGACAAGAGTCTACACAAAGTGGTGTAAAAAGAACTGCTGTCGACACCAAATTACTAAAACAAAACAAAAAAACAAGACAAATTGACATAATAAGACAACCAATGATGAAGTCTTTATAAACTATAATAACGATATAAAAGATATAAAAAATAATGTAGAAATAAAACAATAATAAATTATACCGTTTCAAAGAAAGATCGCAGTTACTTAAATCATGCTCAAAGAACTAAACTTGTTACAAACATTCAAATGTAAACTGAAATATCAGTGTTTTACTTTATCCAATAAAACCGCAATTGTTTTCACTAAAACCAATAGTCCATTGTTTACGACTTTTAACATAAAATTACCTTTCCAATAAGTTTCGGTAAAAATGAAGGTTTGTTGGTGCAGCAAAGTTTCTGTTTTCCATCCTTTAATGTCGTTATGCTGTCAAAAAGTGTGTCTTTTGCTGTGATGTTCTTTCCAAGATAATCACACGGAATACACACACCAGAATCAGCCGGCAAGTTAAATGAGTCTAACTTTCCAGAGTGGTCAATTTCTGTTTTATTATTTTTGTCTTTATAAATAAGTAGTGCCACTAAAAATAACCCCATGACAACATTTGCAAATATTGATGAAGTCAAAATACACCGAAGTCTGTTTTCAAGACAAGATTTCTTATTTACAGTCATGTTGCAAAAACTCTGAACAAATTCAAATGGTCTAACTGCTGGCTTTTGTTTAATTCGTGTATAGTTATAAACTAAGTTAAAGGCCTATATATTTATAACTAACTTACTTCCTTGTAGAATATCGCGCAAATATAGTCTATAAATAAATAAATGGATTTTAGTTGGTAAAATTGTCTAATACGTATTTTCGGAAAAGCCAATCTCAACCCACAATAATTTTTGTTTTTAACTATTACATCTATTATTATATTTATTGGAAATCATCCAGCAAGTGTCTATATAGACACTCTAAAATTGTTATCTAAAAGGAACGCATCTGTTTTTTTTACAATTATACATAAACACAAGTCAACTATGTTTTCAAAAAGTGATATGTTCATATGATCAGAATGATGTTATTAATGCCTCTAGTTAAATGTAGTTTCCATTTTGGGGGTCTTTGCGTATTGTATGAACATTTTACCGCACATATTTGGAAAGTTGATCAGTCTGGTATTTTATATTTTTTTTAACTTTTAATAGATTATCTTATCAAATAATATTTCCTTGTTTTTTTAATAATTTGGGTATACCTTCTTTACTTGTGTTGTTGAAGCCTAGTGGAAATTTGCTCAAGGAATTTAACAAGAACTTCCCAATCTATAAATAAGAGCACAACATTAACATTTCAATGACTGTTTAAAATTGGAATTTGGAAAGAAAGAAATTGAAATTGTACATGTTTTATTAAATATAAAGATAATAAGATGTGGTATGATTGTCAATGAGACAACTCTCCACCAGAGACCAAATGACAGAGAGGTTTACAACTATAAGTCACCGTACAAGAAAAATAACGGCCAGATTTATGTACAAAACAATGAATGAAAAACCAAATATGATATCCAGCAACACACAACCACTGAATTACAGGCTCCTAACTTGGGACAGGCACATGCAGAATGTGGCGAGCTTAAACTGAGTTTGTTGGGGCCAAACCCTCCCCTAACCTGGGAAAGTGGTGTAACAGTACAAAATAAATTGCTTCGCCGAGAGCAGATGGATACGACCGCAGAGGTCCAACCCTGAATAGTTGGGGCAAAAATGGACCCAATATTCGCGCTTGATACAGGTCTGAATTCGGATTGTAATTAAATATTTGACACATAAAAGGTTTCTGACACAGAATAACTGTAGTCAAAGAACTTAGAATTAGTTATATGATTTGAATTTATATTCAATTTTTTGCTTTTGTGCAATACACTTTGCTGTTGCGAATTGACCCCCCTCACCCCACAAAACAAAAATCCCCCCCCCCTTTTTTTTTGGCTTTTGTGCAATACACTATGCTGTTGCGTATTAACCCCCCACCCCCACACACACACTTTTTTTTGCAAAAAAAATAGTATTTGAAGAATTTTTCTTTTTAATTTCTGAAATCTTAAATGAGAAATAATTGTTGACCCCCCACAATTTCTTTTTACCCCCCCCCCCCCCCCCCAATTTTTCCCCAAAAAATTCTTTCCCTCAAGATATGGTCATAATCTCAATTCATATTTCCAATGGAATTTGCAACCATAATTACCCATTTAAATTTACCATAGTGCTAACTTAATCTATTTTATAATAGAATTTAAAATATGGTGTCAAATCTTTCATATGGATTTTTTTGTAAAAAAAAAGATGCAACATTTGCAGATATTTTTACTGGTTTCCTTTATAAATATGCATTTCTTTAAACATAATTTAAAAGCAGTGTAAGGGAGGTAATCAAAACGTTGTATTTGGATTACCTCCCTTACACTGCTTTTAAGTTGTCTTAATTGTTCATTAACCATTACTTTATACATAATTTAAAAGCAGTGTAAGGGAGGTAATTCAAATGATGTATTTGAATTACCTCTCTTACACTGCTTTAAATTATGTTTTGTACGAAAGTATTTGTCCATTAACCAGGACACCCTTGTTTCCCCCCTTTTTTTGCCCCTAATTCCTAAACGGTTTGAGCCATAACCCCCCAACTCAAATCCTAACCATCCCTTTGTGGTATGGAAACTTGTGGTATAATTTCAGAGAGATCCATACACTGTTCCACAAGTTATTGTCTGGAAACTAGAAAAATGCTTATTTTTGGCCCCTTTTTGGCTCCTAATTCCGTAATTGTTGGTACCATAACCCCAAAATCAATCCCAACCTTCCTTTTGTGGTATTGAACCTTATGGTAAAATTTCATAAATATCCATTCGCTTAAACTAAAGTTATTGTGCGAAAACCAATGTGTCTTCGGACGACGACGACGACGACGACGACGACACCAACGTCATACCAAATATACGACCGCAAAAATTTTTTGCGGTCGTATAAAAATCGCATTGAAGGATTGATTGATTAAATATTTCATTAAAAATTATCAGTGGTAAAATTTTAATATTTCATGTGATATATTCAAGACAAAAACACTAAAGACATTGACAACCAAACTTAATTCATTTATTTCATATAAAAAGTATACTGAGTTTGAGCCTTATGCATTAAAATATTACAGCCTTTAGAGTCAAATGCATTTGGTTCAATCCACCCATCACAGTAAATCCAGAAGCCCTCCATCTGCTGTCAATTTTTACTACTCATGTATGCGCAGATCTTTCGGTTAAGAAAAATCTAAACTTTTTGCACGGAATGCTGGGAATCATCTTCATGAATATGTACATGACACAAAACATTTACAGTACAACTTAGGAGTTGTAAGCGATTAACATGACTGCCATCGGGACTTTGATTCAGTTTTACCAACTTTCCAAAACAAAATATGTCCTCACATTTGACATGCTTTAGCACGAATTGTTGGTTTTCTGTTTGGAATCATTTCAAATTTTTATCACCGATATTTAAAGGTCGTACGATGACCGTAAGTTTTTTCACATCGTTGTACATTGGTGACTTGTTTCGCTGGCATATATTCGAAATCTCCCTATTTCCATACGGACAACTGCGATGACGCAGAGACAGTTACAGATTCTAGTTCTTTTGCAAAACAATTAAAGATTGGAACAAACTGCTTAAACAAAAACCTTGCAGTATCTCAACTGACTAATTCACGGAGAATATCATGCCTCGCACCTTTGGTCTTCTCCAGATACGAATATAAATTAAAAAAAAGAACAAAAACATTGTCAATTTTATTAACAAATTATAGCAGTAGGTATGTTCATATTTACAGTATATGCAGATGATAAATGACGATCTTGATACAATATCAAACTATATGAAGATTTAACAAATCTTCTGTTAATGATTTCCTTTACATGGACACACAACTGATTGTTTGTTCTAAGAAAGGAATCCTAATATACTTCCATAAACATAATTATTGGTAAATAAATCGAGCTGACCATGGAGAAAAGAAACGGCTATAAACCTACAACAAATCTTGTATATACTACAAAGTATATAATTATATTGCTTGTATTAGAGCTAGAAAGGAAAGAAACGATAAAATCCTAATACAATAAAAGCCTAATCATTCGGAATTTGGTTCTTTTAAGTCGAAGAAAAAAAGTTATTGCCAGTTCATAAAATTATCCCACTTGCAACATAAGATGATGGTCAAATTTGATTGAAAACAAAATCATAGCATTAGAATTAAAAATAAAACTTGATCTCTAAAAAAAGTTTGAATTTATTGCAAAAGCTTCTTTTTAGTCTCTTAAATGTCGACAACAATAAGGGCGGCAACAAATATATCACTTAATCTCTAAAAAAAAGTTTTAATTTATTGCAAAAGCTTCTTTTTAGTCTCTTAAATGTCGCCAGCAATAAGGGCGGCAACAAATGTTTAAAATGTCTTGACCTGGTTTTAAAAATTATTTGAACAATTCATCCACATAAGATCTCAAGGGATATTCCTTCTTTAGACTCTTTGTATAAAGAATATAAATTAAAAACAAGTACCAACACAAAATTAAAACTATTAAGATGCGGTCTATTTCGAGTTTTGTTTTATCTAGCATATATAAAAACCAAAGCAAATATAGGCATAGGAAATATAAAATAAAAACAAGTACCAACACAAAATTTAAACAATTAAGTTGCTGTCTATTTCGAATTTTGTTTTATGTAGCATATATAAAAACCAAAGCAAATATAAGAAAAGGAAATATAAAATGAAAACAAGTACCAACACAAAATTTAAACAATTAAATTGCGGTATACTTGAGTTTTGTTTTATCTAGCATATATAAAAACCAAAGCAAATATAGGAAAAGGAAATATAAAATAAAAACAAATACCAACACAAAATTTAAACAATTAAGTTACGGTCTATTTCGAGTTTTGTTTTATCTAGCATATATTAAAACCAAAGCATAAATAGGAAAAGGAAATGAATCTTGCAAGAATCACCAATATCTTTGAACAAATTATGTTATTTTGTGAAAAGAATCGCTATGTTAGATTATTTAGGTATTTAGTACAAATAAATGATAGAAATAGCCACCATTTTCCAGAATGTTATGACAACAACACCAATAATGACGTCATTGACATACCATTACACGACCACAAAAGGCATATGACCATACCCTACTTTCTATTTCACAGTATTGGTATTTTAAAAAGACCTAAAATATTTACCTAAAATTCTCAATACAACACGTCATACATGCATTTCAAAATTCTGACTATTTCAAGTTATAATTTGATAGTTAAGACTTTCTAATTATGTTTTCTTTTAGATGGCTTACTTTAAGCTTTATACTGCAATTTTACCAAAAAGGAACACGTTGAGTTTTTATCATTTTTATCTGTTCAGATCATCCGGGCAATTTACTTTACATTCAGAAATAAAATCCAGTGCATGGAACCAGCCAATAAAAACGAAAGAACATCCAGACTAAATGAGGACGGAACGACTACTGTTCTCATTCATTCATGGTGGATTTATTTTATTATCTGCTAACCAACGCTTATTGGGACAAAATATTAGGTTGCAATTATTTGGTTTTTTTTTATCTATTTATTTTTTAAGTTGTGGTACTTTTATCTTTTAAACTCATCGGCTAGTTTTGTGTTATTTTATTTCATTCCTATATACTTCGCAAGTCATTTTTAAAATTCAAATCAGGCCTTCAAAATACATCCTCATGATCTCACAGCAATTTTAAATCCATATAAAATCTGACTTAATCCATTTTCAAGCCATTTATATACTTTTCAATTGCCTAACAGAGAATAAAACGTAACAATTAATAGTTCTATTTATGCTAAAAATCATGGTTAACATGTAACTTTACAACAATAAACCCAAAACGATAAAACAGATTCAGTCAATAACAATCATGATCCTTATCATTCTGATTCAACTCATTTTTCAAAAAGTAAAGTGTAAAAGCAACTTCAATATAATAATAACCTATAAACGAGTGCCATTTGATAAAGTCATAATTAAAACTTAAAACAATAAACGATAAACAACGAAGAGATTTAGTACAATATTAACCTCCGATTATAATACAGATGCATTCTCACGCTCACTAATTCTATCTCTCATAATACACGTACAAATTTGTCCACTATCACACACAATCACAACCTAAACATACCAAAATAGCTAGCATATGTGGATTTCTTAACATATTCAAACGAATCAACATATGAACCAATTTCATAACCACTTTGTAATTTAAATGTACCACATAAGAAGCTGGTGTGGATTCGATCTGATTCTGCCGATCCACCATATTTGCTCATCAACATGGAAATTTCTCCTGTTTTCGGCAGATTTGGATGGCGACGAGTAATGTTATGATATACTGTCGGCACTACTTTTAAGTAACTCTCGTCTGCAAAGTCGAATGTGACAGCTGCGTATATAAAGTATAGTGCTGAGTCGCCGAGATCATGTCTGGGAACTACAAATCTGTTGTCAACAACATGGATTCCATTGGTGAAGGCTGTTCCTAGTCCATCTTCTCGCAAAGTCCATGTTAAATTGTTTGCTGAGAAAAGAAAATTTAACTGATATTAGGCGGTCTACATATTTTACATTAACACTTATATCAGACAGCCTACTAACAAATAACTTTGCACTGATTTCAGGTAAGCTTTATACAACTTATCAAATTATTTTGTTAGCTACGTCATGTTTATGTTTGGAATTTTCCACTCAGTCCTTCCAAAAATTTGACATTAGAACGCATTCTGTTAAAAGATTTTACAATATCATGAAATTTATATACAAAAAAAGTGCTTGACATTATATTGTATGAAGACAACAGAGTTACTACTCGGACAAGTTGTGTATGCGTTGTACTCTAAAATAACTATACTATTGAATGCAGTGCTTTTTTATGTTGTTTTTTGTATTTTATTCTGATTTTGACACTAAAGAAAAGTTTAAATACGCACCAAAAGTAATGTTGATCCAGCTAAATATGTACGTGCCTGGGTAAAGTGTCGTATTTTGTTTTGTTTTTTTTTATGTTTAATTTCAGATCTTTTATCAGCCCGTTTATATATTGAGGATTGTTGGAGCTGATCACATGTCATCATGGCTTGCGATAGCCTACCCGTTATTGACAATCGTACGATGCATGTGTCAAAGTTCTGTTTCTGATGCACATGTATTGTTTGGTCCCAGTCTCCTTAATGTTTACCCTACATCTCCTTTCTAAAAATTCATTTTTGTAGAAGTAAAGGTTCAGCCTTTATACTATGTACAGTCTATTTTCTTTCCAAAAATACCTTTAAAACATTATTTTAACTACATACCTGTGGTGTCATGGTACATGTGAATTGAATGTGGTCTCTCCCTCCACCATTTGATTGATTGGCGAACCCTTGAATCTTCAGCTATAAAGATAAATATATTAATGTGATTCAAATGCAGATATATCATATTTTACAGAGTAGAATCATAATGTTATAAGGTGTCTGTTATCGCATAGGTACCAATGATGCACAAATCTTTGAACTTTTCCTTCCTGGATCACTAACTTTAAAGCGAGAAAAGAAAATGTTGATCGATAATTAACGGAATAGTGTCACAAACAAATGTATATTCTTTCACATTCTCACTTCAACATAATTTGCAGATATCTTTTCTTATCCAATGTCTGACATATAATGTAATCTTTCAAGCACAGAAGATTCGATATTTACAAAAATAGCAACGTCATTATTACTGGACTATATACATGTATTACAGACAGTTTCATTTTACCATTTCAAATCGTAGACCATTCTAGTGGGGCTGCGAGGGTTGTCACAAATAAATGGTGATGCACGCAGAAAGAAATGAAGCTGTAATAAACGATAGCTAATGCCCTCGTCCATTTTCATTTAATACTATTTCATAAATTATGTATGAAGGTCTATGTTGATGTAGACCCTAATCGTGATGCGCCAAAGTAGATCTGACAAAATACTTGTAGTTGCTTAGATCTTGACCTTCGTGCAAAACAAAGTCGTTTATGTGTAGTCATAGCAAGAATTTCGGAACTAATAATATAAGCATGATGCAACATCAGAGAACAATGGGAAAATTTGAAACAAATTTACAGGCAGATTTGTTGACAAATGTCTTTTTTTTATGTAACTGTTCAAAGGGAAATTACTCTGATATATCTCAGAATTGAAATATTCAACTTACTTTGTTTTTTCAACACACACATTTGATTTTATATTTTCTTGCGAAGAATGTGATCTATTAATCATCATTGTTAACACTATAAGTGAAATGTATAATGAGAGAAACAACTATAATACATGAACTGTGTCATGACTTATATTATAATACTCTAATTATAATATATATAATTAAGATATATGAAATGATAACTTTATAGAGGAGGCATGTTGTCAAAATAGTATTGTAATAATTTTTTTTTCAATGCTACATGTTTGTATTGTTTTCTGTCTATCGTTTTGTTATCTATATGTTTTTCTTTAGTAACAATCCTATTGTTTGATTATTAAACTAATAACATTCTTATTCTTATTCTTATACTTACTGTAGTCATGTTCACCGGGTGGAAACTGACGTTCGACAACCTGAAATCATCGGTAAATTAAATAAGAAAATAAAATTACATCATGACATGCATCAGGATAATAGTCAGCATTTCACTCTTTCACAATTGAATGTATGTATTTTTAATTGCAATGAGTCAGTACGGAATTAATATCTATGATACGACAAACCAAACTATACTGATGTTGTATGGTAACCTAAATTAATGAACTTTAAAATTTTAATGTTGTTAAATTAAAAAACATTGAATCTGTATTTGTTCATAAGTTACTCATTTGTTACAATTTTAAGTTAGATTTACACTGACATGAAATAACTATGTATCAGGGTCTTTTAAAACAAATAATAGTTGTAGGCCTAGGTTATTCTAAGATATAATTGTTCTGGCATGTCATCGTCATCATCATACACCCTTAATTGTTTGGTAGTGAGGGTTTTTTTTTTTGTGAAGTTAAACGTAAAAACAATAATTGGCAATAAAACCCTCATATTTCTTATGTTTAAGAAATAGAGTAGCAATGTTGCATAGATCTTTATTCTTATACAGCCTATCCATTAAAGAGAAATGTTAAAACATTCTATGTAGTACCCCCTCCCCCTCTTTCTGCATATGTTATTTACCTTTCGCATCAGAGTCGTGATGTCTGGGAGACTTGTTATGCAACAAAGCTTCTGTCCGTTTTCTGTTACTTGTATGTGGTCATATAAAGTGTCCTCCTTTTTAACATCAGGTCCAAGATAATCACATGGAAAACAAACTCCAGAATCCGGCATTTTTATATTAACATAATCAGCTTTAGCATCATCATCGTCATTTTTTCCGAATGTTTTAAAAATAAACAAAAATATGAGCGTGCACAGTAGAAAAATGTTAACAACTAGCGATACTTTGAACACATTATTAAGCCTCTGTGTGTACTTGTCGGTTTTGTTACTGTCAGTCATACTGGTTGAATTGCTAATAAGCATGTTATCCGACGGATTATCAGATTCCATTTTAAAGATTCCTACGTTTGTAATGTTGTTAATTAATAATATAACAAGCGCCTGCAGTTAGTATAAAGCATGCATAAGTTCCATGTTTAAAATTTTGACCTAAGTCTATTTACTAGAAATCCCCAGCGCTACAATTCTACTTCCATTTTCATAATCTATAATTGGATCGATATTTACCGTAGTACGTCAGCATAATATTAGCTATTTAGGTCATGTTTACAAACAAATACGATGTAAAGAATGCATTATAAAATAACGCGATGAATAGTTATATGATTTGATTGTGTGGGATAATATATGTAATGTATGCATTGTAATATTGTGGTAACATTTTGCACGAATGTATGTTAAGCATTTAATTTTTTACGAAAATGAATTCTATATTAATTTCCTGACTCAGAGATATTTAAATAAATTTAGACGAGTTTATAGGTCAACTACATTTTCAGAAAATTCTCACTTCCAATATTGAAGTCAAGGCCGATGAAAACCTATGCACAGGTACAACAAACAGCCTTGGCATATCTGGATTATTTAATTTTTCATTGCTTAATTAATTGTTTTGTTTATTTGTTGATTTTTAGGGGTGATAAGATCTGACAAGGGAGCTCGAGGATCCTCGCAAATGTTGCATAGTCGGATTGGTCTTACTTGTTGTTATAATCTGTAACAATTAAAATTCGAATTCAAATATATTTTATTATACCAGTCATTAGCCCATAGTGGACAATAGCAAATATATATGACATCAAATATATATATATATATATATATATGTATATATATATACAATCCGGTATAATGCAAAATGTGCAAAAAGTTTAAACAATCAACAATATCACCAATTCAGCTTAGGGTGTATATAGACTCTGTCATTGATGAGAGCTGAACTAACAGTAGTGACCCTGCCAATTCAGCTCAGTATGTAGACTTTGTCATTTGTGAGAGCTGGGCTAATAGTTGTGACTTAAAGTCTTTGCCAATTAAGCTTAGGGTGTTTGTAGACTTTGTCATCCAAGTCATCTTAGGGTGTACGTAGACTTTGTCATTGGTGAGAGATGGTCTTACAGTAATGACTTTGCCAATTTAGCTTAGGGTGTATGTAGACTTTGGCATTGGTGATAGCTAGGCTAACAGTAGTGACTCCGCCAATTTAGCGTAGGGTGTATGTATACTTCGTCATTAATGAGAGCTGGGCTAACAGTAGTGACTGCCAATTTAGCTTAAGGTGTATGTACACTTTGCTTTTGGTTAAAGCTGGTCTAATTGTAGTGACTCCGCTAAATGATTGCAAATAATGCAAAATCCTCCATGGGACTAAGCTTCCTGATTTCATTCTCTCTGGGTCTGGTTCCGAAAGCAAACAATTACAATATTCAGTACGCAGACGTCCATTGGATATTATGGGAGGGGGATTTTGAAAATGAATTTTCTGACTCTATAAGAACTAAAATGAATACACCTTGACCAAGATAGAATGGAAATGGATATTCTGATCAACAAATGGTAGGAAATGATTGTGTTCAAAGGAGAAAATAAAAAAACAAGCCGGACTAGTTATGGGTAGTACGTGAAAATGGTTTTTCTACATTAGAAACCGAGGGACGGTGCTTTTTTTCGTTATTTATATAGAATACAGTAGTACATATATATGACTTCTTTGCTGCAGAAAAACCCGATTTTTAACTAGTGAATGGTTATTTACTGTGCTTATGATTTATTTCCCTAAATTCGATGCTTTATAGCGGTATGGGTTTTGCTAATTGTTAAAGACCGTACGGTGACTTATAGTTGCTAACTTCCGGTCTCTGGTGGAAAGATGCAATCATACCACATTTCCTTATTTTTATATTGACTGTCAATAATCAAACTGATTTGATTGAACTATTCATTGAATGTATATAAATGGCTGCACAACAATTGACATGTTGTGCATTTCGTTTGAAAGACCCGGGTCTACTACGTAGGATTGTCACAACAATGGGCAAAATTAAGAATAGAAAAGAATGGGCAAAACAAACACATCGGACTAGACTTTTAAATTAGCTATATGAAAATAAGGAGATGTGGTAGGATTGTCTTATCAAAATGATCGAAATCGGACTAGACTTTTAAATTAGCTATATGAAAATAAGATGTGGTAGGATTGTCTTATCAAAATGATCGAAATCGGACTAGACTTTTAAATTAGCTATATGAAAATAAGATGTGGTAGGATTGTCTTATAAAAATGATCGAAATCGGACTAGACTTTTAAATTACCTATATGAAAATAAGATGTGGTAAGATTGTCTTATCAAAATGATCGAAATCGGACTAGACTTTTAAATTAGCTACATGAAAGTAAGATGTGGTAGGATTGTCTTATCAAAATGATCGAAATCGGACTAGACTTTTAAATTACCTATATCAAAATAAGATGTGGTAAGATTGTCTTATCAAAATGACCGAAATCGGACTAGACTTTTAAATTAGCTACATGGAAATAAGATGTGGTAGGATTGTCTTATCAAAATGATCGAAATCGGACTAGACTTTTAAATTAGCTATATGAAAATAAATGTGGTAGGATTGTCTTATCAAAATGACCGAAATCGGACTAGACTTTTAAATTAGCTATATGAAAATAAGATGTGGTAGGATTGTCTTATCAAAATGATCGAAATCGGACTAGACTTTTAAATTAGTTATATGAAAATAAGATGTGGTAGGATTGTCTTATCAAAATGATCGAAATCGGACTAGACTTTTAAATTAGCTATATGAAAATAAGATGTGGTAGGATTGTCTTATCAAAATGATCGAAATCGGACTAGACTTTTAAATTAGCTTTATGAAAATAAGATGTGGTAGGATTGTCTTATCAAAATGATCGAAATCGGACTAGACTTTTAAATTAGCTATATGAAAATAAGGAGATGTGGTAGGATTGTCTTATCAAAATGATCGAAATCGGACTAGACCTTTAAATTAGCTATATGAAAATAAGATGTGGTAGGATTGTCTTATCAAAATGATCGAAATCGGACTAGACTTTTAAATGAGCTATATGAAAATAAGGAGATGTGGTAGGATTGTCTTATCAAAATGATCGAAATAGGACTAGACCTTTAAATTAGCTATATGAAAATAAGGAGATGTGGTAGGATTGTCTTATCAAAATGATCGAAATCGGACTAGACCTTTAAATTAGCTATATGAAAATCAGGAGATGTGGTAGGATTGTCTTATCAAAATGATCGAAATCGGACTAGACCTTTAAATTAGCTATATGAAAATATGGAGATGTGGTAGGATTGTCTGATCAAAATGATCGAAATCGGACTAGACTTTTTAATTAGCTATATGAAAATAAGATGTGGTAGGATTGTCTTATCAAAATGATCGAAATCGGACTAGACTTTTAAATTAGCTATATGAAAATAAGATGTGGTAGGATTGTCTTATCAAAATGATCGAAATCGGACTAGACTTTTAAATTAGCTATATGAAAATAAGGAGATGTGGTAGGATTGTCTTATCAAAATGATCGAAATCGGACTAGACTTTTAAATTAGCTATATGAAAATAAGGAGATGTGGTAGGATTGTCTTATCAAAATGATCGAAATCGGACTAGACTTTTAAATTAGCTATATGAAAATAAGATGTGGTAGGATTGTCTTATCAAAATGATCGAAATCGGACTAGACTTTTAACTAACTATATGAAAATAAGGAGATGTGGTAGGATTGCCAATAAGACACTTCCATTTAAAAAAAAGATGGACAAGGCTTTGAACAACTGTAGATCACTGTGCGGCCTTGAAAAATATGTAAAACCTACACCGTTTAGTAAGATAAAAGGTTTCGGTATGACAAAATGTGTAATACATTTTTTTTGTAATTCAAACTAGAAAAACCGTGTAGACTTTATTTAGACTAAAACAATTAACATAAAATAAAAATGACAGACAGCAACCAACCAAAAACCGATGGATTACAGGCTCCTGGCTTGTGATAGGAATATGTGGTGGGGTTTAACCTGTTTGTGAACGCTAAACTCGCCCCTAACTTTGGACAATGGTAGCTCAATACACCATAAGAACAAACTGTAAAACTCAGATCGAAATTGTTTGACGTTACGCGCGATGTTCGTGCCTATAAGCGTAACAGACGTTATCGCTAAAATCGGACGTTTTTTATGGTTCAGACGCTACAAAAATACTTCTAGAAAAAGTAACGTTAACAATTGTACTATAATGATATGTATTCCCAATACAATAAATATGATCACTTTTTGCAAACCATTTGACCTCTTTTAAAATGATTCATTTCAATATAATTCTAATACAGATAAAACGAGAACTGTGATCACGATCACCTCCCTTTTTCCCCCTCAAATTAAGATTATCTCAGGTAACAGTTGTCAGACTACATTATTTTTTATGCACATAGTATACTACACTAATGTAAAGTTTCATTGAAATCCAATAAACGTTTTAGAAAAAGTTGCGCTTACATAACAATACTATATATTACCCTATAATATTGTAATATTTAACGAAGTGGTCTGTCTTCCTGCATGGACATCTTTAGCTAGTATACTACAACTACATGACATTGTGTAAAGTTTCATTAATATCCCTCAAGTAATTTATAAGGATTACCGCTTACAAGGAAAATGGACAGACAGAAGGACAGGGTGATTCCTATATAGCCCAAACCTTTTTTGCTGGGGGATATAACAATTTGTTTTTTTATGGAAAAAAGAGGTTTTTAAACAATAACTTTATTGTGCTCCTTCCATTTCATCCAATACTGATAAAATGTCAAGATGTGTAGTTTCCAGAAGACTAAGAGTTCCACGGGTCGAACATTGAAGAGATGGTGAAATGTAAATAACAGATGCAATGGAAATGATGGAATGTTTCTTATCCAATAGTTTATACGACAAAAGTTTTTTTGTTTGGTCAAAGTATAAACCACGAACAACTTTGGATCCCTTTACGTAAGTTACGCCCCAATCATCGGTGGTGTCCTTTTTAAGAGTTTCGGGACAAGCGTCTGCTTTAAAAAGGTAATAATTTGAATCTGCTTCATCAGTGTATACTGCCAGTATTGTGCCAAGCGCAATGAGGTCTTCCATTTCGTAATTTTCCGTGGATTCTGCGGGACCCGAATGGCGGGTTCGGTTGTTCTCGACAACTATC